ACGGAAAGAAAGCTAATAGATCTGATGACACTTATGGATTAGATGAGCCTCTCGGTTTTTCAAGATGCTTATGTATCAAGATGCTGTATAGCAGCCCATTGATGTTTCATTGATATTAAGTGCATTCCAATGTATCATCCGCTTGCGTGCGATTTTCTTCCTTACTTTGTATTCCTATTGTTGATCAACGCTGATTGATTTATTGAGCTTGTTGTATCTTGCTATATCTAGGAGAAGGTACCTAATCATTGTCTCTGGCGTAATCGAGGAAGAGACTCGAGCCACGTGGAATGACATACAATAAGAGCACGGAGTAGTCGCCTTGAAAGAGGCCTATAGGCACAGTTGTAAATGTGTGCTGTGCATTAATCTTATTCGCGGTTCATGTTGAGAAGGACAATGGGAAAGGAAATGTATTGCCTCTTCCACATGGATGCATACACTGGGCAATAGCAGCATAACAATCAAGTTGGCGGCGGGATAAGATAATGCTAAGTCAACTAAGGACTGATGACATTGGGGATTTAACATTCAGTATGCCCTACTGTTCAGTTACTTTCACATGCCACAGCCAGACAGAGTTGTGCAATCCAGAGCAGTTAAGTCCATGTAATTCTTAAGTCAATAACAAACAGTGTATCTGTATAAAAAGCTCAAATCGGAAGGATCTCAAAAACCTTCCAGTGAGCAGGCTCATAATCTGAGCCTGAGAAGTAGTCATGTCACCCGATGGTGGGGGCGGGTGGTATCGTATACTTTTCGTATTTGAAAAAAACAAGCGTTCCAAGTACCAGATACAGCACATTATTTGGGTTCTGCTTGCTTCTTGTTCCTGTTCCAGACAGGCACCTAAAGCGCAAACACCATGGCGGCCAAAGGTAGGGCCATAACCCAAGCCAAAGGACGGTTAAGAATAGCAGCGTCTTCATCATCCTCTCCATCCTTGGCATCTCCATCATTTGAGTTGGTGCTGTTGTCGGTGTTGGTACTGTTATTGTCATCGGTAGTCTCGCTCCCTGTGTCTGCATCGTTCTTACCGGACGCATTGGACTCGTCGTCCTTCAAGGGAATGACCTTAAGGTTCTTCATAGCACTGCCGTCAGCATTACTGACATCGAGCTTGACGTTCCAGTCCGAGATATCGATGATCTTTCCGCTAGGTTTGTTCTTAATACCGTTGTCGACCAGCTTTTGGGCATCGTCAGGGATAGTTGGAAGAGTGAAGTTGTTGTCGAAACCGCTATCCTCGATGATGCCAGCCTTACAGGCCGGAGCCTTCGGAGAGCTCTTGCTTGCAGGCTTAGATTGGACCTCCTTCCAGTTGATTCTAGCAAACTGGTTCTTAAGGCGGTTGAAATCTCCGAGAATGCGAAGCTTGTCTCCGGTAATCTTGACGAGGCCATAGTTGTTGTCCTCCTCAGTATACTCGTACACGACGCCACCCGAGAAGACCGGGGTCATTTCGTCTCCGTACATGGCTTGAGTCTCATTCCAGTAACGGGGTTGAGGTTTGTTGCATCCATATTCACTGAAAAAAATAGGGATAGAGGTTGAGTTGAAGCCAGCTACAAGATCGTCGTAAGAAGAAGTCTCAAAGGTGGCCTCAGGTCCACACCATGAGTAGGAGTTGAGCGCAAAGAGGTCGGCACGGCTCATATCACCCTTGTCCTCCGCATCGGCGCACTGGAGGTAGTTCCACGTGTCCCACAGAACATCGCGGACATCAGCGGCAGAATAACCAACAGGAATTTGGCGCTTCAAGTTGTTCTTGATGTAGTTCTTGAGATCGCGGGTGACAGCACGGATATACTGAGGGGCAAACTCAGCAGTGGCCTGGTTGTTGATGACCTCGTTGGCGGAGAAGAACAGAAGAGTATTTGGGTAGTTGCCAAACGCCTCGGTGATGGCAAAGGTGCGATTAAGGTAGGCTGTGTAGTAACTCTCCCATGGCTTCTCCGAGTGAAGAGCCTCACCGGGCAGAGGAGAGTTGACATCAATCATCATATACATGCCGGCCTAGCAAAGTATGTTAAATCATCATCAACATAGGCTCAGCCAAATCACTTACAGCATTGAAAATACTAGCACACTCATCATGGTTGATGTTAGGATCCAGGTTGTAAACACGGATCGCATTGATACCAAGAATCTGCATGAGAGCAGCATCTCGCATGCATTCATCTTTGTGACTGAGAGGATCTCTTCCGCTGGAAGGATCGTAGCCGGCACTGCCTCCAGGTTGGTAGGCCATACCAACAATCTGGAATTTGTCGCCAGTCTCGGGGTTGATAAAGTCAGTTCCCTTGATCTCTAGAGGAGGCACGGCACCGACAACCGCGGCCCCAAGGGCCATGAGGGTGGCTTTGAGCTAGTACGCATATCAGTATGTTGTGTAACGGATGCTAATGCGCCATGTACAGTAGCGCAAGGTGAGGGAACATACAAGCATCGCGATAACGTGCTACTGAATCTTCCTGTATTGGCTTTTCCCAAAAGTCGTGGTCACAGTACGGGGTTGGATTGTAGACCTGGAAAGACGCAACGTAAACAGCTTGATTCACAGCAAAAGGTTGTGTTGTTGACTGATGGTGTTGGTGAGGGGCGCGATGATGAACAAGGACCTTTGGTAGATAAAGTCAAGGCACGAAATGAACCGATCTCGATGAGAAAGAGCGATAAGAAGCGAAAGGACCACAATTCGACAACAATCGCTTGGCGAAGAAGGAGCGTATGGGTTTGGAAGAAAGAGCAAGCAACGAGGTGGAGGAGGAAGAGTAAGAGTGGAAGTGGGTGAAGGTTGATAAATGTCAGTGACTGACAGTGATGGGTCAACCAGCAAATATTGCTTCAAGGTGGAGGCGGAAGTGTTACAGGCATGCAACAACCAAACGAGAAGATCAGACGGGAGCAGATATGAGCAAGCGTAGTATGATCTAGATTCAGACAAAATCCCAGTGCAGCGGAAGAGGCAAGCTCAAATAAGAAAGGATACCGAGGCCAAGCATGTAATGATGGAAAGGGGATTGGTGCATAGATCATCGAAATCAGCAATAAACACAACCTAGACATCAACGCCGCAAGCCTGGACCGTTTGCAGACTGTAGTCTATTACACCACTATCGGGAGACCGGCCATGGCATTTTGGCTCTTAGCATGAATAGATCAGGTTCCGGCAGAAGCCAAGCTTCAAGCCAAGATATGTAAACAGGTTAAGGATTGGGGTTTAGAATACTCTATACGAGGTCTTTAATGGATAGCAAACAGTATCGTACTTCGGTGTCACTGGATAGGTAGATGCCGTTATATCGATTGTAGGTCATCTAACTCACTCATTATTCTTGCCTGAACGAGCAACTGAATAATTACAGGACCCTTGTGTTTACAAGGATCCGCGACCTAGTCGAGCCGTTGCCGGGGTTCGTGGGCGCTGGATGGGAAACTCGCTTTACTGTTTGCAGTCTAGATTCGGCGATGGAACGATGGGAACGGGGTCTCGAAGGCAGGTTAATGGGAACGGGTGGACAGAACAGAAGGAACCTGAGACTGTAGGTACATTAAGACAGATATCAAAGTCAGAAAGAAGATAAGGTACGGGGATGCTCAGCAGCCATTGGTGAATCAGATCTGCTTGTCAAGCCTTTAACCCATGTTATATACCATGCTCAGATCTGATCTGGTCCGTTCAACATGCGCTGTTGTCCAAGACAAATGACCGTTGAAGGGTATCCTGAACGGTCCCACCACGTTTTAAAAGTACGCTTGTCGCTCGACATCCTTGCACCACTGCTCACTGCAATCTCTAGTTATACAAGTAACAGCGTTTTTCTTGGCATCGATATCGCTATGCTAACAGAGCTATGTCGGTAAACCGTAGGCGATCTTTACCTAAGGTATGCAACCTAGAATGGATCGTGCTGTGGTAGCTTACAGCACAGTATAAAGTCCAAACACTCGCGTATTATGATATTGGCTGGAGCCCGCCTATACTTAGTGTCATCGTCCCATGAAACATAAGGCAAGAATTGAGTTATGTCCTACTTACACGATGCGGAGATCTCTGTACATCATCATTAGCTGGAAAACGGCGGATTTTTCGTATACCGGCCACCGGAGACGCAAGACAAACATCTACAATTACTTCATAATAATATAAGCGAAGAACAAAGACAGGTTTTTGGCAGAAAACCCGAACAAAATCAGCTTTCCAAGAGGAGCTTTGAGCTTCACGGATATATCTAGGTACCTTTATTGTACGGAATAAGTTCGACTAATAATTTTCAGGCTACCCTACAGTTGTGAGATTCCACGCAGCTAGATTCTACAATGATCGCAATACGATGGCTCGGTGACGATGCCATAGACCAACAAAAACAATAGGATTCTACACACAACTGGGATTTACCGAACTTGGGGATAGGCTATACCAAGCCAATATCCATTAAGTGAGGTTTATACATAGGGACTACACAAACAGGCAAATGTATTCGAAGTCACAATCCATTCTCATTGGGCACAACAAGTTCGTCAGAAACTCCAAGGGAATTGATACACTATGTAGGCAGGAAACTAACTCTAGATTAGAGTATGGGGTAATCGGTCTTATTAAAGCATAGAAAAAGGCCAAATAGCTCTCCGGGGTAACACTGAAAGAAAAAGAAGAAAGTCGTGTACAGCTTCGATATGGACTCACGGGTAGGAATGTCAAACGGTACGCAGCCAGGAAGAGCCTGATCATATTCAACCAGTTCCTGTCTCATTTTGAACCTCGAGACATTATACCCCTGCCCTTACTCGCATGCCGATGTCATCGAAATGATGTAAGAGGCATTGGTTCTATTACGGTCAAGTCGACCAGCGAACCTCCTGACAAAGCATTTACTTTTGAGTTGCTCTACATCAGGCCGTGAAAGATATGGAGGGTCGTAACAAATACGGGCTATCGAGCTGCCCAGAGACGCCGTTGCTCCATCGCCAGCACAACTTCAAAAACAAAAGACAGCCTAGTAGCCGTTCATCGTCATTCGTTGCGAGTTTCGGCTCAACTCGCGATCAGCGGCAGGGCTGATGGGTCGGCTGCTAGCTCCACCATGAGCACTGCTCTCCTTCAGGGCCAGCAGCTGCTTGGCACGGAAGGTCTCGTAATGAATCTGAGAGGTGGTCTCGATAAGGTCCTGGAGGTGCGTTCGGAGAAGGAAGTCTCGGAGGTAGACAAATTCGCAGTGAGTCTCATCCTCAACGTTGATAACTCCCCATCGGTTCTGGCGGCCTCGGACCTGTTTACCATTGACGATAATCGACTTCTCGGAACCGACAACAGCGAAAGGAACAAGGTTCTATTGCGTATTAGTACGTGCACAATCCGATTGAACTCGAGCGACGTAGACAAACCTTGATCTGACCGTTCAGAGCACGCTCCTCATCATCAAATTCCTCGTTGTCATAGGGGTACATCTTGAGGTTGTGGAAAGCAAACTCCTCCTTGATGCGCTCCTTAAACTCCTGACGCTCCTCAACGGTCAGGGTGTCGGCCTTGGCTATGACAGGCACCACGTTGACAACATCAGACAGCTTCTTCAAGACGACAATATCGATGGGCTTGAGAGAGTGGCCCGATGGCTGGATGAAGAAGAGACAGCAGTGGATACGGGTATCCTGGATGTAGCGCTCTCGCTGTGCAGTGAGCTCCTTGCGCAAGTACGCGGAGTGCTGATCCTTGATATACTTGACGATGGGGTCCCAACAGCGGTCGTTGTTGACAAGGTCGCCGTAACCGGGAGTATCGACAATGTTGAGTCTGAGTCGGACACCGTTCTCCTCAATGTTGTGGGAAACAGCCTGGATCTCAGTGGTCTGGCGGATAGGCTCGTCGGGCTGGAAGCGACCCTTGGAGTCGATCAGGTGAGAAGCGAAAATAGTGTTGATGAGCGTTGACTTGCCCATACCGGTCTGACCTACAATGCGCAAGACATGTTAGTATAGTTACTTAATGTATCCGTGGACCGGCAGTCAGGCTGTGAGCAATCACACCATGGTAGGTTAAACCATAGAGACGATTGAGACAAAGTTGTCACTTACCAACACAGATGACGTTGAATTGGAAACCACGCTTCAAGAGCTTCTTCTCAATCTGAGAAGTGATGCTGTCGAAACCGACATGGCTCTGAGGATAGATAGTGTTGGGAGGAGCGGCAGCCATCTTGAATAACTCGTACGGGAGAGAAGTGTTCGATTCAAACGGTGAGTGAATGTAAGAGTAGAGCTCGGGAATGTTGTGAATATTCCAAGAAAGAGAGACTGGACTCGAAGCAGCTAAGGTTAACACGAGCGCGAACAGTTGGCAAGGTCAAAGTGACACTTGAAGAGGTAGCGAAGCTGGGAGTTGGAGGTTTAGAGAGGCGGCGTAGAAACCGATCCTAGGGGGAACTTTTCGGGCACTGGGCTTCCTGCCACCTTAGCAAACAATTTCCCTACTGGAAGGGAGGTGTCAGGGAGGTCCAGGGTCCCAAAGAAAGGGGGAAAGCGCGTTTCGAGCTTCTCATTGGTTCAAGAAGGTCAGTGCGTCGGTTAGCTGATGATTGGCTGGCGGCATTTCGAGATAGCCTAGGCCATCAGACTTTTGAGCTGGAATTTAAAGCCTTGCGCATTTTGATCATCGTGACCCCAATTCGAGCCCGACGACCTGTAGACACTTCAGCTCTATCAGGAAACAAGCATCCACAATTGAAGTACTGGGGCATTTACCAATTCAATACCTTTCGCTTCCAAGACTCCAGCACCGGCCTTGGAACTTCGACTTGGACTTGACCACCAAAGCCGACATTGTTCCATCATCTTCAAGCCCATTAACGTCTCTCTGTGAAGATGGCTGCTCCGCTTCTCTCCCGAATATACTCTCCGGCCGTCCTATCTGCGGTGTCTTTTCGCCAGTTCACCCAGAAACTCTTCCCGTCGTTGACGATTGCGATCCCTGGCGTTTCCTTAAACCTGCCCACCATCGATGATATTTGGGAGTCTGTGCTACGAGCGGTACCTAAGAACAAGGTCTCCCATTCGAGAAAGCGACATAGACAAATGGCGGGCAAGGCGCTGAAGGATGTGAACAATTTGTGCAAATGTCCCGGATGTGGTCAACCCAAGCGTACACACCGATTATGCCAAACCTGCTTAGAAGGTATATTGTTGCTCTCTTGACATAAGCGAGGCCATATCCAATCTAACAACCTATAGAAATGAGACAAATTTGGCGTCAGGACTACCCTAATGATAGGTCGATCTAAGGAGAAAAGAAAATGGGACATTGATAATTTACCACTGTACAGTCACCACGGAATCATGCATACCATGGGCGTTTTGGCTTAGTTTGGACCTTGTATGAATATGAACAATATACTAAGTAAAAGTTTCAACTACCGCGATAGTATTCTGGCAGCTTGAAGAACTGTGAGAACTGTTTTAACTCTGTGTATAAAACATTGATGCAGCATGGTTTTTGTATGCAAGAGTACAGTGTGTTATCCCACCTATCAATGATAAATGGTCAACTAGGAGTTGCTGTATTCCTTCACACCTACCTGCGTATGGTAGGTATGGATATCCATAATGCTTTGTCTTGATTTGGAGCTTTATATTTATGACCCTGTGTTGCCCCACCAAGACCACTGGCATTCATCCGCAGTTCAGTCCAAGCCAAGCACTTTCATTCATACAACGTCATATTGAAGAGCAAGAGAAGCACGACGTTTAGCACGGCGTGGGAGAGATGGTAAGGCCGACCGAAGACTCAGCCACCGAGAAAAGCAACTAATTTCATTAGTCGAAACAATATTTGACCACGCATACCGTGGATAATGGTGAGCTTGACCTACCCGCTGGGGGGTGAATCAATGAAGCAAGCAGTTTACTAAAGGCGTGTAGCCCACATCACCGACATCTTTTCCATTGCGACGACATCCAAAGCTGTGATATCAGGCAGTGGATCTTCCACGCTTCACGTTCATGATACAACTGATCCTTCATTCCCACTCAAGCAGTCCATCTCAGATGCACACAAGTTGGGGTGCCACCACGTGTGTACCTCACGGAATGGCAACGTCGCAGCGAGTGCTGGATTTGGCGGCGAGGTAAAAATTTGGAAAGTCGACAGCGACACTGGCGAATGGAGTTTGGATGGTGAGATTACAGAATCTTCATCTAAGCCTGGTGAGGCTTGGGCTATGGCGTTGAGTGAGAATGGATCTTACCTGGCTACTACTACAAACGATGGCCGAGTCAACGTTTGGGATGTCATGGATGAGAAGAAGCCCAAGATTCGTGAATACGAAACCGGAAGTGCTGGATCTGGAAGCTTTGGCATGTCAGTGGACTTGAGCCGGGATGGGAAATACACTGCCAGCGGCCACCAGAATGGATCTGTCTACATTTTCAATAATGATACAGGAAGAGTCCTGTACTCATTATCTGGTTGGTTGCCTCGTACACCTCTTACATACTATTTCTCTGACATGTGCTACCAGGTCTCGCAAAGCCTGTACGATCAGTTGCCTTTTCTCCTGGTAACACTCGACTTGCTGCTGCAGGTGACGCTGGAATCATCGCACTCTACGACATGAAACATGGAGAACATGTTGGGAACCTGACTGGACACTCCTCGTGGGTCACGTCACTCGACTGGAGCGATACAGGAGAGTACCTGCTAAGTGGCTCAATGGATGGAAAGGTCAAGGTGTGGTCAATTGAGCGAAGCGCGTGTGTGGCAACCCATAGTGAGACGGACAAAGCTCTTTGGTCCGTAAAGTGGCTGCCGAAGACTGTCAGAAGCGAGATGTTCTGCACTGCTGGCGCAAACAGGAGCCTTTCGTTCTACCGAGAGGCTACTGGCGGTTGATCATTGTATAATAGGAATGGAAACTCTCGGTGATGAGGCAATTCGGTCACCAAGACAAAGTCAGAAAAAGAAAAGACATTACAGGCTTATGTTATCACGTTTCACTAACAGTTTGTCTATGTGAACTTGACGGCATGAATACAAGAGATCAGCGGGTCGCAATGAAAACCACAAACTGGGGGCAAGACCGGGAATCCTAGCATTACCTGAGGTAAGAATTGAAATACAAACCTTAGGGATCGTTACCAGTTCATATCATTCGAAACAGAAACTTCTTGCGTCGCCATGAAGCTGCCCCATTACCTTAATCAGGGTCTCAAAGTATGATGTAAGGCACGTGATCTCGCGCTTACGTTCGCGTTGTCCTGCCAATCTTAAGGCTTGCACGTCATGCATTTGGTCCTCTCCAGCCTTCCCATTAGAGCCACCCAGCCAATCCCAGTCACTGACCCTGTATCCGTACCTGTGGTCAATTTATGTATGAACGACTTCACCTTTCGATCATCATCACTCACCATAAAGCATCCGTTCTCTCAACGTTAACTGTTAAACTGGCAAATTATTTTACTGCTTAGAAACAGCTAGCGCCTGTTCATAGCTCTATCGACTTCACTTACAATTCACCAAGCGTCATTCTCAGCATTCAGCAGCGCCATCTCGTTTTAACATTAGGAGCTGAGCCCACTATGCCCACAACTCGACGATCCGCTGCCAGCGCTCGCAGCAGGGGCCCGCCAGCCAAGGGACAGTCTACTTTGAGCTTCTCAAACAAAGTCACCAAACCAGTACCCAAAAGTGCCAAGAAGTCTGCTATCTCTGCTTCCATTTCAAAGCTCGATCCCAGCCAGCATGCCTCACAGCGTGAGGTTGAAGATATTGTTGTCAACGACCATGAGTCCACAGAGGCTGTCAAGGAAGAAGTTGAGGCAGTCGCAGATATTGAGGTAGTCCCAGAACCTGCGAAGTCTGAACTGGAGTCGCAAGCAGAGAAAGTTACAGACACACATATCAAGAAGTATTGGAAGTCCATTGAAGACCAATGGACTACGCCGCGATTGCACCAGCAAGGTGTATCTTTGAGTGAGAAGGTTCTTCGATATTTCGATGTCAGCTCACAATATGGTGTAAGTCAGCTTGGGCTATCATGGATTCACCGTAACTAACCTGCGCAGCCCTGTATAGGCATGCCTCGCATTAAGCGCTGGAAACGAGCTGAACGTCTGGGTCTCAACCCTCCAATTGAAGTCCTCGCTGTTCTTCTCAAGGAAGAAAGCAAGGGCAACGATAAAATCGAAAGGGCACATATGGACGAGATCCTCAATTCGACTGCTGTAGGTGCCTGAAATATCTCCACCTGTTATTTGGCCAGTAGTGGCTGTTTCACGGAGTGAGGCGTTTCAGGGAATGATGTTCAGGTGCCGTTGTCGCTTTATTTGCTGTCTCATTTATTCTATAAGCGCGTAAACAGCTAGTCGAATAAGAAATCTATGATCTAAACCTGGGTCTCAAAATACACAGAAAGCTAGAGGTAACTGGCCTCGCGGCCTTCGTCTAGTACCAAATACTCCTTGTCCGATGATGCGGAATGGGCTCTTTACCCGCCTCTTCCAGTTCCTTCATACTATCGTAGAGGAAAAAGTCTATTAGGATGGCGTTGACACGAGCGTCAGGGTGTTGACGCAGAATCTCTCGTCGAATCAGCTCAACACACCAGATACTGCAAGCTAATATGTTCAGTAAAAGTTGTCGACTACAGTTGAAATGACTTACCTCGTATTTGTAGCTCCCATGAACATCCGCTCTCTATCATCTTCTTGTCCTTGATGGCAGCTGCAACCGTTGGAGAACAATACAGGGCGCCCATAGTCATCAAAATTTGAGGGATACGATAATCCGCAAACATGGTGATCTTGTCAATGTCTCGAAATTCGCCGTATGACGCGCCGTTGAAGCATGCCCAAAGATCCGCAACGAGGATTTGTGCTCTCTTCATCAGCCGAATCATCTTGCCATCCCCGAAACGATGCTCATCACGAAAGCAGTCAAAATCTTGTGCCAGCAAGTTCACCAGACGTGCCGCAGAACCATCAGCAGCGTAAATGAGCTCTGCAACAGAGCCGTCGTAGTGCTGTTTCATGTGGTCAGAATTACTACCAAATGACAGGATTGACGTTGTTCTGGCTTACCTTGAAGAGTACCTGGCCAGCTTCTCGGAGGCAGTCTAACCGTTCTTCAAGGAGGGGAATTTTCTCTTCTGTGCATGACCGGAAAACATGGGTGAGGGATTCCAGGGTACACTCTTCTTCGTTCTTCCAGTAGAAAGGATCCGTGATAGGAATGCCTTTAGTGAGGTCAAGTATTAGCTTGCTGTGTGAGTCATCGTGAAAAATGATAACTGACCTTCATCAATTGCTCTTTGGAGAGCTGCCACCAAACTCCAATAACCAGTCCATCTTTTCCCGCGATACTCAATAGCAAAGCGTTCATCATCAGGTAGTTCAGACCAGAAAGAAAAGTTCAGCAAGTCCATAGTGAAAATGAAGTTGACAGTAGTTTCGTCCTTGGCCTTGGGGTGAAGTTCATGCTCTGACCAGGTGGCAGTTGAGTAACTCTTCTGTTGCATTTGCTCATAAATGCTCTCAGCTGCCTTTTTGGATGCACGCATGTCAACGGCAACATCAATGCAACTGTCGTAGACATATTCAGCGCTCTCCAGGACGCCTGTCTCGGGCTCCTCCTGGATATCGATCTTCCCCTGAAGATGTTGGCGGAGGAGTTCCAACAGTTCGGTGTCAACCTCGTCGTCAGACATCGCTACAGAAATAGGTTGTTACACGTTGGGGAAAAGGAGAATGAGCCAAGCGAAAAAGAGAAAGCGTAGAGGAGGGCAAAAAAGCAAAGAGTGACAATGGCGGGCAGTTTTCTTTGTATGATTCAGTCTAGACTTTCAAGGTCGAGTCGGGTATCCAGGTCCCTTAATTTTTTTTAATAAAAAAAATTGGTCTCGGCAGCGGCCCCGCGGTCGCATAATTGCTACCAACAGCCCAGTGTATTATGCGTCCCTTGCGGCTTGCCATGGCCGAAATACGGCAAAGGAAGGAATTGTATGATGGTGGTGAATAGTCAAGTACTTCTGGAAGCAACCGGTTCACATCATATTGACTAAATGGATGACTTTGTAACACCCTTTCGTTGGAGTGCCCCTTAGATACCTAGCTCTACTAGGCAGGTCTGGGAGGCACTCATTGTCCTTGCATCTGCATCTGCACGTCACCATCCCACCCAACCCATCAGTTAAAAAAACAACTTAGAGTGCTAACATGGATGTCGAGTCTTCTACGAGGAGTTAAGCAAGCTAAGGTAACTAGAAACTTGATATGAAGTTAGTAAAATAACTCAGCTGGGCTAGCAGTAACTGAGAAGCCTTTTGGTGAGTTTATCTCAGCATACAAAGGGTTTGAGTCCAAGTTTCTTGCTCTTCGAGGACCTTCAGTTGTGATGGTTAAGTTACTGGTGTGCTCATTGACAATGTAAGTACACAGTGGAGCCCAATCATTAAGCCTTGACACCAAGAATTCCCGGCTTTAGAAGCTCGTAGCTCTGTGATAGGTCCGTCCGATTGGTCGCCCTGCAACGCCGCTCCCCTGCTGAGTGCTCTATCTCAGCTCTCTGACCACTAACATCCTATTCAACCTTCCCACCTTCAACTGATCGCGACATTCTTCACCAACAAGCGCACCGACTCGACATTTATGCGCAGCCCTCGGATCGGGCTATTCCACTCTTTCGATCCCGTTTCCGCGTATAGAAAGCGATCGCTATAATGATGAATGCGACAAGCGCTGATCAGGCTCCGGCCCAGACACCGAATACGGCTGCGGCTGCAGCTCCAGCTGTTACTCCAGCTTCAGAGCAGCAACTACAAATACAAACACAACTACAGCAACAGCAGCAGCAGAAGAAAACTGCTTCATCCGAGAACGAACCCCGGAAACGCACGCCGGCCATGACGCGTGACCGACACAACCAGCAGTCGCTGGGCGCATCACTCAATACCTCTGTCAAGCAGGTACGTTTCTTATGCATGGGACTAAATATCATCTCTCAGCCTTGATCTCGCACCAGGATCTGACGCGATCTGACGCCTCAGGAGCGATGTATCTAGGACTGTGCTGTATGCGATGCGACATGGCGATCTTCCTCGACCACTTCTTATCCTTGTGGGTATGCTAACTCGGATCGCGCAGGCTCGTGTGCTCATGGTTGGTGCTGGCGGAATTGGATGCGAGTTGCTCAAGAATCTGGTCCTCACAGGCTTTGGCGAAATACATATTGTTGACCTCGATACCATCGACCTTTCGAATCTGAACCGACAGTTTCTTTTCCGTCACGAGCACATAAAAAGATCCAAGGCTCTAGTGCGTCATTCTGCCCAAAATGGAGTTTGGTTAGATACTAATCAAGGCGCAGGTGGCCAAGGAGGCAGCAGAACGGTTCAATCCCAATGTCAAAATTGTCGCACACCATGGCAATATAAAGGACGATGAATTCACTGTGGCCTGGTTCCAGCAATTCCGCATTGCTTTCAATGCTCTTGATAACCTCGAAGCGCGCAGGCACGTCAATAAGATGTGCCTGGCAGCTGATGTACCCCTGATCGAGAGTGGCACCACCGGATTCAATGGCCAGGTGCAGGTTATCAAAAAAGGCGTTACTGCATGCTACGACTGCACTCCGAAGGAAGCACCCAAGTCCTTCCCTGTGTGTACAATTCGAAGCACCCCCAGCCAACCCATCCACTGCATTGTATGGGGTAAAAGTTATTTGCTCAAGTATGAATATAGATAGCGACTCGCGGAAGATTGCTAACAAAGAATTTAGCGAGATATTTGGCACAAGTGAAGATCAGGCCGCGTTTGACCACTCAACAGATGCTGACAATGGTAAGTGAGATGCTGTGTTAAGGGGCAGTACATACTGACAAGAGCCAGCCAAGGAGATTGAGGAGTTGAAGAAAGAATCGGAAGCCCTCAAGATGATTCGGGATGCTACTGGCACGTCCAAGTTCCCTCAGATGCTATTTGACAAGGTGTTCAACGCCGACATCGAGCGACTACGTTCCGTGGAGGGGATGTGGACATCCCGGCGAGCTCCTGAATCTCTTCGATATCAGACCATTCTCGCGCAGGCTGGCGATGCTATCGCCAACAAGGACAAGATTCTAAATGACGATCAGCGGGTTTGGTCCCTGGAAGAGAGTCTAGCGGTCTTCAATGACAGTCTTGACCGACTAAGCAAGCGGATTCTTGAACTCAAGAAGAACAAAAATCCCGAAGACCCCGACCCCACAATCACATTTGACAAGGATGATATTGATACCCTCGACTTTGTGACAGCAAGCGCCAACATTCGCTCAACAATCTTTGGAATTGACAAGAAGTCTCGTTTCGATACCAAACAGATGGCAGGCAACATTATTCCAGCGATTGCCACAACCAACGCAATCGTCGCTGGTCTCTGTGTTCTTCAGTCCTTCAAAGTTCTGAAGGGCGAGTATGCACAGTCTAAGGAGGTCTTCCTGACCCCCTTTGCCCCAGCTCGACTCCTGGCCCCTGATAGGTCCAGAGAGCCAAATCCCGAATGCCCCGTTTGCGGTGTTCACTTCACAACTATTGTTGCAGATCTGTCTCGGGCGACTCTCAAGGATCTCGTTGATGACATCGTCTTGTCAAAACTGGGATTTGAAGGCAAGGAGTTTGTCGTGAACAATGACATAGGAACCTTGGTTGAATGTTTTGAAGACGGCGACGACGAGAATCTACCCAAAAAGCTGACTGATCTCGGTAAGGCCTCATTGAAAGGACAAATGAATTGCTCGCGGAGGACTGACAGAACCATTAGGTATTAAGAAGGACTCGTTCTTGACTGTCATCGACCAGGACGACGAAGACACGTTCGTCAATGTGGTTATTAATGTCCAAGAAGGGTTTGTCTTTGTCTCTGTTGTTATTGAACTAAGCTTACAATTCATAGTACATTGAAAGAAGACGAGAAACCGGTCAAGGCTACATTCCCGGATGTCCCTGAGATTCCACGCCGACCAAAGAAGCTCCAACCAGTCTCCGCGAATGGCAATGGGGAACTCAACAACGGGCAGGCCGTTAGTGCCGAGCCGAAGGGTATCAAGAGACCGCATGGAGAGGACGCTGAACCACCTCTCAAGAAACTCAAGATCACCGAACCCGGAACCGATATTGTAGACGTGGACGAAGTCCAAAGCCATGCCGCCGGCGGCGCTATCGTCATTGACGATTGACGGGTTATTCAAGGGGTTGAAAGGACGATGCGTATATCCTGGGAACCATGGCTTTACTAGTTGGCGCTTAAGCCACCATCCAGGTTCAGCACGCAATTGTTGGCGAAACGGTTGGTTATCAAAAACATGGCAGCGTCGGCTACCTCATCGGGTGTGCCCACACGACCCAAGGGACACTGCTTGAGGTAAGCTTCACGAGCAGTCTCAGTGAGTTCTAAAACAGGGCATTGTACATTAACATTGGTTTTCGCCTTCGCATGGGTGATTGGCACCAGGGATTGAAGGCGCAGGAAGGGGAGACTCACCATTCCACATTGGACTCTGTATCCAACCTGGTAGCAATGTGTTGACGCGGATAGAGCGACTTTTATACTCAAGGGCTAGGGCGCGGGTGAAAGCTGTGACGATATGGAGTCAGCAGGTTTTTGGCATGTATAATAATGTGGGATCCATTAGCATGAGATTAGGGATATATCATGAACATACCAACGACACCAGCTTTTGAAGCGGCGTATACTGCAGCACCAGCACCCATTTTGGTAGCCATAAGACTTGAAACATTGATGATGCATCCTATGAGTACATGTGAGAAGATGCTATCGGACACAAGTAACTGCTTGGTGGGACGCACCATGAGGGGTTAATTTGGCATATTTAGAGGCGAGAATAGTCGCCCGGAGGTTGAGGTTAAGGATCAGTTGAATTTCCTCTTCGCCGGTCCTTTTGAGCGCTGACGTCTGACTGGTCCCAGCACAGTTGACGAGGACATCAACGGGGCCTAGAGTGGGAAATATACCTCTGAAAATATCTGCCCTTTGCACATCCAGGCGTTTGAATTGGTGCTCTGTTGGGCGCCTACTACCTTCGATGTTCTCCATGTACGGGAGAGGCTCAAAGGGTTTGAGTCTGGGCTCAAGGACTTGGCGATCATCAACGGCATTGCGACTCATGATGGTCACAACAGAGCCGCGGTCTGCAAGTGCGCTAGCAATACGGAAGCCCAGCGTACCGGTACCTCCTACCACAATGGCATGTTTGCCGCGGAGAGAGAAGGACATTGGCGGTGGTGGAGGCGGGATGTGTGAGGTGGTTTACAGATAGGTAGTGAAGTTTGATGTGGTGATGAAATTTGAAGTTGAGTCTGTAAATATTGACTTGAATGGAGACGAAGGCCCAACTTTTTACGATAAAGCTGTATACATCGAATTCCACGAAATACTATGAAATGAATATTTTCTATAATTAATTTTCATTCCCTTATCCTTCAAGTTGCTTTTGATCGTTGCGAGTCGAATATTCTCTGCTTCTCAATTGTATCCAATGCTTAATTACCTACCTAGGTACCTACCTGCCCTAGCTGCCTTACCCGGGCAGCCAACCTCCCATGCAGCACCGATGTCATTGCCACACTGTACGACTGTTTGGCTTAAAAAAGCCCCAACACCATTGAAACACCTGACCAAGCAATCGGTTCCTGGCTGGCTGTATGTCATGGCCGATATCTGTCTCCTAGTAGCAATTGCTTTTCTGCACATACTCAAGACGATTTCCCTGTTACTATGAGTATGTCCATATTGGCCTCTGTAAATACTTACAAGCCCAGAACCCCTGCCTTTAAACCAGTGGCTGGCTTGTTTGGTGCATCTCATCAGCTTCCATGATGGGTTTCGCTTCTGGGGTATCAACAGGGGACTGAAGAGGAGAACCGCAAAGTTTTAAGTTAGCGAGGTAACCGATCCGCTGATTAAACCCTGATTTCGAGCTTGTCTCGCTGTCCTCTGCGAGTGCCAAGGGTTGAAGCCAAACGTAGCGGACGTCGATAAACACTCAAACAAGATGATGGCGGACGAACATCTATCTAGTCTACCTAATCTGACCCGTTTCTCCCACGACAAGGATCTATTGACCATTGTTGTTCCTTACTGGATACATATACAAATAGCTGCCTGCCTGCTACACCCGAACCTTGGCCTCTGCTGGTCTGGTTCAGTTCATTGTAACATAGTGCAAAACTCCACTTGATCAAACTCCCGCCGCTTCCATCCATCGCTGGTTAACTATTCCCACTAAACTCCTCCATTGCAACTACATTCTCAGCAGGGCTTCTGTCCATTGAAGCCCAAGGCCGCACTTAGGCTCACGACATTCCTTATCGTCTTCTTTGACCTCAATGGTTTCGTCATTGTATTAGATCTTGTACTCGTCGCAATTGACGTACTCTTATTACCTTTACTTCTGCCGCAAAACCATGAGCGACCCTCAACGCGATGCCCCGCCGTTGAGCGCCCACATTCCCGCTACCACCACGACCACGACGGTTCTGCCTACGACAAACGGCTCTGCCAAAGGCGACGACGTTCCCGATGCCGGACTGAGAAGTCTCGATCACTGTACGCCTCAGTAACGACCTCTCTCGCGCCACGCGCTTTGCTGATTGCTCCTCTCGCAGACAAGCGCGCCCTGCCAAAATGGCGATACAATCTGCGCCAACAGATGCTGCCTCTGATCCGCTGGGAGACACCCTACCTTGCGTGGATGCAAGAGAAGTTGCGGACTCCAGCTCTCGATAGTTACTTCGCCATCACTGCCAACCTCGGAACCCATACCTTCTTCATGATCGGATTACCCATCTGCTTCTGGTGTGGTTATGCAGCATTTGGCAAGGGGTAAGTCACACCATGTTCCGCGTCTACATTCGCTGCGCCGCGCCGCATGATGTTGCGCTGTAGTTGCAGTAACAAATCTCCAGATTATCGAGATTACAGGGTTTAACAGGCACTGACACGCTTCGTTGTGTAGACTTGTACATATTCTTGCGCTCGGTGTCTTCTGGACAGGCTTTATCAAGGACTTCTACTCTCTCCCGCGACCACTTTCGCCTCCTTTGCACCGAATCACGATGTCTGGTTCTGCAGCCCTCGAATATGGTTTCCCTTCGACCCATAGCGCCAATGCCGTATCTGTCGCTGTCTATGCGGTTCTGATACTACGCAGTCCCGATAACACGCTAGCTCCAACCACCAAGTTCGCACTCGAATGCCTCTCATACTTCTACGCTGCTTCGATCATATTTGGGCGCTTATACTGTGGCATGCATGGCTTCCTCGACGTAATTGTTGGGTCCATCATGGGTGCCGCGATTTCTCTTCTCGAATTCTACTACGGACCTCCCTTGGATGAATATATGCACTCCAGCTCTTGGGCTGCGCCTCTTGTAGCTGCCTTGATTATTCTTGTACTCGTACGCATCCACCCTGAGCCGGCAGATGACTGTCCATGTTACGATGACAGTGTTGCCTTCGCTGGTGTTGTCATTGGTCTCGAATTCGGCACTTGGACGTACGGCAAAATTGCGCTGGATCCTTGGGAGACTCATGCGCATGGAGGAGGATCAGTGGATATTACGCACTTGGGATTGGCTGCCAACGTGGCTAGGATCGTTTTCGGCGTTCTTGTCGTCTTTGCGTGGCGCGAGACGATGAAGCCTCTACTGCTTAAGCTCTTGCCTCATCTATTCCGAATATTTGAACAGGTTGGGGTAAACATGCCTCGACGGTTCTTCACTCCTGCTAGTAAGTATAAGACTGTACCAACAGGCTCTCGTATCGATACGCTTTTTCCTTCGCCGTCCGACTTCCCACGCATGGTCGAGAGTATCCGAAACCCTACCACCCGAGGTCGCTCTGTGTCGATTGGTCCTCAGAGTGCCGCAGATGCATACGAGACCTTGGCGTATAGAGAGCGCAAGCGACGCGAGAGTGTCAGCAGTAACCATAGCTTGAAGAGCAAGTCAAGCAACCTGGAGCTCCAGACCACGCATGAAGACTATTCTGGCAAGGGAGCTCAGGCGTCTGGGGCACAGGCAAACCGAATCGTCGAATTCGAGCAGATGATGGGGACCGGCGAGGTTGTGACAACACCAGCCGCCGATGATGATCGGGTTGAGATCTTTGTTACGGGCACCGAGGACGGGTTGGGAGAGCGGGAGATGTTCTCGCAATTAATCAAACCTCGTGTGCGATACGACGTCGAGGTCGTGACTAAGCTCGTTGTTTACACTGGTAAGTTTATGGAATTTTTCCCTGACAAGAGAAATGGTTTGCTGACTGGTGTGATAGGTATTGCTTGGTTTGCAGTGGCTATTATCCCCATAATGTTTGAGATTGTGGGTTTGGGGACGAATCAGTTACGTGAACGATGAGTGATGAGATGAAATGAGACAAGAGAGGCCACCGCCTTGTATTATTTTCTAGTGGCCTCCAGGATGCAATTAGATATTCTTTTTAATGAACATATAGGGTGATGAATGATGGGCGCCGGAATGGTTTATTGGTTATGTCACCTTTGGGTTTCTGTGGGTGATATATCTCTAGACAACTTTAAGAGTTGCAATTGATACTGAGTTGTACTCATGATAGTGTATCCGAACAGTGCTATAAAAACATTTAATTTGAAAATAAACATCATTTAAAATAGCTGTCTCTGCGAAGAATGATACTTCAGTTAAAGGGTATAAGAAAGCGTGCAGCTGACGATTTCGCCCTTGTGATTGGCCGTTGCTATGTGCAAGGGTCTTAATTGACCGACACGCTCAGACGCGTTTAGGTGTAACCTAGCGCGTGTTCCTCAACTGATTTCATCATTCAAACTTCCATAACCACAGCGCAACAAGCTCAAGAGTTGCGGGACGAGCAACCCCGGAAAACATTCCATCACCAAAGGGACTACAAAGACCGAAAGCAACAAGAAAACAAGCGCAAATATGTCTGATATTGGGGATGAGATGGACGTTGACGTCCCCGTCGTCAGCAAAGATGTGATATTTTCCTCTGAAGCCAAGCAAGGCAAGCGAAGTGCTGCCAATCTGCCAGTTGAGGCTGAGGATAGTCTCCCTTGGTAGGTACTCGTAAGAAACGCCATAAAAGATCAGAATTAATGGGGCCCAGGGTTGAAAAGTACCGCCCAAACACCCTCGACGACGTCTCGGGCCATCAAGATATCCTCGCTACTATCAACAAATTCATCGACCAGAACCGTCTCCCTCATCTACTCCTCTACGGTCCCCCAGGTACCGGGAAAACGTCGACAATTCTGGCCCTTGCTCGTCGTATCTACGGAGCTGCGAATATGCGTCAAATGGTTCTCGAACTCAATGCCTCAGATGACCGTGGTATTGATGTAGTGCGGGAGCAGATCAAGACATTTGCTAGTACCAAACAGATCTTCTCCGTGGGTGGTGCATCTGCCCGCTCAGGCAACTCGATGGCTGGATTTAAGCTCATTGTTCTGGATGAGGCTGATGCTATGACGAGCACAGCCCAGATGGCTCTACGACGAATAATGGAGAAGTACACCACCAACACACGGTTCTGTATCATTGCAAACTATTCCCACAAGCTTAGCCCAGCACTTCTGAGTCGATGCACACGGTTCCGCTTCAGTCCGCTGAAGGAGGGTGATATTAGGGTGCTAGTTGACAAGGTGGTGGATGAGGAGCATGTTAGGATTGGCGGAGAGGCGGTCGATGCGTTGGTGAAGTTGAGCAAGGGTGATATGCGAAGAGCACTGAACGTTCTACAGGCCTGTCACGCATCAAGTGAGTCTGCATGCATCTCTTTCCAAACGTGAGCGCTAACACAGGCCCAGGTACACCATTGCGAGCGAAGGATGCACCTAAAGTGCCTGACAGCGAAATTGAACGCGAAAACATCACAACGGAGACTATTTATAACTGCATCGCGGCACCCCCACCTGATGCCATTAAAGAGATTGTGTCGACGCTGCTTAAGACATCTGATGTCACAAGTTGTCTAAACACTATTAACGCTCTCAAGGTGTCGCGAGGTCTTGCGCTGGCGGATATCATCACGGCGCTCTCCGAGGAGTTAGTGAAGCTAGAGGTTGGTCCCGAGGTGATGATCACCTGGCTGGATGGTCTCGCCAACATCGAGCATAGAGTCGCCGGTGGAGGCAGTGAGTTGATTCAGACTGGAGCAGTTGTTGGAGTTGTCCGAAACGGAGTTGAGTTGATGAGCCGATAATCTCAGGTTCTCTACAGCTATCGAGCGTCGCGTCTTCACAAGGACGTAATGAGTAGATTTACATTGAAGGCTGAATATTCGTATGATATTACACGACGATTAACTGTGCTACAAGCACCAAAAGCCTTTTATAGTACATAGATGAAACCAATTAAGCATCATGGCGATGATTTTAATCCCAAGCGCCGCGACTTTGTAAGGTGTTAATAATGTATCTGTCAGCCACTATCCATGTCTAGTGGCGCAAGCTCATGCAACCCTCGTGTAAGCTCAGAGCTGTCAACGGACAAATTTACTACACCTCAATGGTAGCTTATCAACATTAAAACGGTGCGCTGCGACTTCAACTCTGCAGGGCACAGGAGGTATTGCACTTGTGAGCTTGCTGTCGCACTAACTCACCGAGAAAAGTAGCTGTACGTTTGAAAGACCAGCAAGTCCTCCATACAAATACCGTTACAATGACCTCAATTGCTTCCTCTGATGCTGGAAATTTAACTGTCGAGCCACTGTCAGAGCGCAACGTCTCTCGGATCCCGCTTATTCTGCCTCATGAGCGCGTCTTTCCAATCCAGATCGGCAGCGAATTATTCAAGCTCTCAGGGGCATCGTTATCCTCTGACGGTGAGTTTTGACCTTACAAGTCTCTTTGCGACAACTGACTTGTCGCATTGAGCTGGCGCAGGTAATATCTCTCTCATAGCTCTCGACTAACGCCTCGTAGCACCTTCGTACTTCTCTCAATACTTTGTTTGCCAGTTAGAATCGGCAAAAGAACGAAACGACGAGTCGAACTCAGCTATCCGAACGCTCTATATTGATCGCGATCCAGCCATCTTTCGAGATATCTCCCTTCATCTTCAGGGCTACCATGTTCAGCCTCGCGATGGCGAGCACTTTGTGCGTCTGTTTTCAGATGCACAATTCTATAGCTGTTGGTCGCCTGCATCTTGCAAATCAAATTCTGAACTGACGTTCCGGATAAATAGTGCCTAAGCTGATCTCTCAGCTCTACGAGGAGAGCATCTTTATCTCCATCGGCCATCGCGAATTTCAGATCCCTCGTGAGATCTTCAACGACCCCGGAAATTCTCCGAACTACTTCTCCCTAGGCTTCGCAGCTTTCTTCTCACGCCCGGATGATCTCTTCCCTGGCCTTGACCGCGAAGGTCTAATCCGTCCACCCTCGATTCTCCCTCCTTCGGTTCCGAAGCGCAGCGCTGATACATTTGCTGAGCTCCTACACTTTCTCCGAGGATACCCAATTCGAATACGTGATGAAGCACACCGCCAGGATCTCCTCAGCGATGCGCGCTACTTTCATTTTAAAGGCCTTGAGCAGCGCCTTATCCCACATTCGCTAAGTTACAATCAAGCCACGAGACGCGATGAGATTGTCCTTCGTCTTGAGAACATACAGAAGAGTGGCGTTAGTGTTTTTATCAGCAATACAGATCCGTTGGCCGGCTTTGTGCAGTACGCTCGACCTTATGTGGACGAGAAACCTGCTGAGCTGGTCCTTGAAATTGGCGGCGAAACAACAAAGCTTCATTTCTCAGGGAGTAATGCTAGGGCAGAGTTCTTCAGGGACACCAAAGCACGAGTTGCGAAGTTGTTTGAGCTTGTCTCGTCAAAGCTAAATTTCCACCAAGCGATCAAAACTGAACATCTCACCAACCACGGACAGTTAACAAACCTCGGAAATTCACTAATAAAGGAAGATCTTGTTCGTATAGTCCTGGAGCCCGAATCCGCCATTATTCTCGATGGGAAGGACTATCTCGAGGATTTCATCAATGCCGCGGCATCCGAATCTTCCGCAAATGAATATCCCCGGAAGCGAAAGAGGGCAGATGGTGACTCAGGCGATGAGGAGTGGGTTGTCACGACAGGGCAATGGAGGTTACGCATTCAGAACGCACCAAACGGCAAGGGTGTTGAATGTATTCTTGTTGCAGCGAAGCTTGATGCAATGCGCTCGCAATTGTCGCGCAACATGTCAAGGAGCTTTCTGGGAAGCTAATTCAGTATTTCTTTCATGTGGTCTTTGCAATCGTAGTGGCGAGAACGGTAAATGCTTTTGTGTTACGAATTATATCTGTAACTGGTATCTCGGGGATAATAACGAGCATCTATGAGACGTCCAATAGTATGAGATGCCGCACGAAAATATGAAAACGCGGGTATTTGGCACAGTTATAGTGGTATTGCAAATACGGAAGAGACAATTTGTACACAATCCAGCCAACGCATATTAATTATGACCAAAACCAAGAAAAGACTTTGTCTGACACATGTCATGAGAATCCACGAGACCATCCATAAAACGGCCATAGAAACAAGATGAAAAGTCGCTGAACGATGCTGCATGTTCTTGAGTCGCAAGTGACTTGACAAAACAGTTTATGAAGAAAACACAATAACGCCCCTTCGCCCTGCAGGAAAAGAGAAAAAGTGATGGGCTAAAGGGTGAGCGGAAATATAGGAGCCCATCAGGAGAGGTGAAAAGCGATAACTTTTTATGAATAGTCGGGTCGGGTGGGAAAAGAGAAATTTTTCACGAGGGGGAAATAGGGGTGAATGTGAAGAGTGGTAGGGTGTTCGTCAGGTCGTGTCATGGCTCATACAATTTGGTCGTTCAACATTTATCGCCCTTTACCAGCAACCTTGCCCGTAGGAGCACTCATATCTCGTCGTTCAACGCCCTCGACCATCCGACGGCTGGGTGTCATTGTGCCCTGTGCCATTGAACGGGCACGGCCACGACGTTCACGGATCTTCGCGAGAGCCTGCTCGCGTGTCATGGTAGGGGTGAGAGCAGGATTTGACATGTCAAAGGTGGTGCCTGTGCTGTTGTGGGATGGTGTGCGAAGGCGTTCGTTGAAAGATGCACTATTCCCGACCTTGTCGTCATGGACTGGCACGGTTGTCGTAGTAGTGACCGTGTAGAAGGCATTTGTGGTATGGGGTCGAGTGTCAGGAGAGACAAGTATATCCTCGGCTACGTCTGGCATGGTCGGTACTGAAGGAACAGGTGCTGAGTGACTGTGAGGAGCGTTGAGAAGTGAGGCCAATGACGTTCTTTCTTGAGCAAGCATGGCGAAGGCTGGAGGCTCGACCGAAGGGGTTCGTGCGTATCTCCGGTAGTTTTCGTACTCGCCAGAGTAACGAGGCTCCATCTCAATGCCATCACCGATCGTGGTTTCAGCCTCAACTTGCTCTTCAATTACAACTTCGTCAACATCCTGATATTCGCTCTCAGTATGGCTTTCTCGCTGACCCTTGGCAGCAGCCTCGGTCTCTTCGATTCTGCGCTGTGCCTCAATGATCTCGGCTTCTTGCTCCGAAACCGTCCTGAAAATGCCTTCTTTGGGGCAGAATATGGTGCTTCGGCGGGGTTCTTTCCTGGATTTAATTATACGTTGAAGGGGCCCTTGGAGGTGCTGTTCTCGGACTGACTCAGGCTGAACATCAGGCTCTGTTCCTCTGTCGGGCTCCGTCCGTACATGCGGTTCCTCGATACAGGGAGGAGTTATAGTACGCTTCTCGGCCTCTACTGCCTCACTATCCAGTTTCAGGACCTTGTCGTTTGGTCCCTCGAGTCCAAAGGAGCTTCGGCGTTTCTGGCGAGGGGCCTCGACACTGGCACGACGGGTTGACTTTGAGCAAGCACAGCAACGGAGATGGCATTCGGCCTGTAAGAATTCAATCATTTCGTGTGCACGGTCTGCTCTTTGACGCTCCCACTGCAACTGAGTGGACAATTCCTCAATCTCAACCTCACTGGCCTCCGAGGAGATAATGTCCATTGTCGATAGAGAAACTCGAGGATCTCTTGACACTCGCCTCTTGTCCTTGTTAGGAGAACCAAACTCATCGTCAGCATCCTGTGGCGGTAGAGGAATGCGACCTTCGGCAGCGATACGGGCAACTTCTTCGTTCTTGGCGGCAGTCTTGTAGGCGTCACGTTCCTGCTCGACGAGCTTGATACGCTCCAGTGCTTGATCTAGTTGTTCTTGGACACCAACAATCTGATAGCGCGCTTCGAATGCTTCTTGCTCTCGAACTTTGCTCCTAGCCTTTTCTCGTTTAAGATTTTCGTCGATCATCTTTGCGTTTGTACGTGCTGACTTGAGTTCTTCTTGGAGCTTGACGATCGATGATTGCGTTTTGAATGTCTCTTTTCGTGCACGGCGTATCTCCTTTTCCCATAAAGCTTGCGTGTGTGCATGGGTCTCCTTTGCTCGGCCATAGTTCTCCTGTGACATGGTCAACATGCAATGCTTACATTGGCTTCCGAGAACACCTACCATCAACGACTCCAGACGTTCTCCGACTTTTCGCTCACGGTCTTTACCCTCATCGATGGCCTTTCGTAGATTTTTGTTCTCCTCTCTATATTTGCGCAACTCAGTCTCGGCCTCTTCGCGGCCAAGCATGGCGCGCTTCAAAGCAGCATCTGCTGTTTTGCGTTCCAACTGTTTTGATTGCATAGTAACACTGAGGTTGTTGAACTGGCTGATCTTATCATGAACGGAGTTATCTCTTGAGCCACCACGAAGGTGAGAGAATGCGGACTCCCGCTCTCTTTGTTGGTTCACACGGTCCGCAGTGACGGCCTGAAGAGGGCCGCCCGGTGAGCCGGGTGAACTGTTTGTCTCTTCCATTGTTGTTGAATATGAGTTCGATGCAGACGTGGAGGTAGATATGAGGTATCAAACTGAACTGGTTGAGTTTTATCGCAAGTGGCTGCCGTTATGCAGGGTCGGCAGTTAAGTTGAAAGTTATTAGTGTGTTGTGATAAGGCAAAGTTGAGTAAAAGTGGTGCTGGTGTAGTATCGATTGTTTACCATCCCACTTTGGTGTGTATCAATTGGTGAGGAACATGTTGCTGTGGTGATGGAGACTATGTCAGGTGACCTAACGCGAGCAATTTGGACGTTTATTTTTCACTTACCCCTAGTGGTGTGTTTGTAGCATATTGTGCATTGAACTCTCCAATCAGCTGCTTTTACCTTTGCTGACCCCGCGAAGTGGAGTGAGTTGCTTGATAAGGCGTGTCAGAATCACGATAAAGCTGTCCAACGTCGCAAGTTAACTCCATTGATCCATGGAAAAGGGAAAAAGTTGAAGCTTCCGACTCCGAGCAGAGGCCAGGTCAAGGTAACAGGACACGCCACTTTATATTAAGATCGCCCCTATTGTAACATTCTTTACTATAAATCTGTTTCTGTGTCCTTTCAACTCTTTTTCTACATCTTTTCTAAAACTTGTTAAAGATCACGTTTGTTACTTGTCAAGATGGCCGATGAATCAACTCTGCGACAGCGAAAACCTCGGCCCAAGAACGAGACTGAATCTGAAGTCTCTCAGTCTTCGACTCCGACAAAAAGGGGCAAGAAAAGGTCCTCGGCCAAGGTCGATGAAGAAGACCCATGGGATGGCTACTCCCCTTACCTCGATGTCGTTCGTGTCATCAGCTTCATTATCGTGGCCTCAATGGGCCTGAGCTATGTTATTAGCGGAGGAGAGAGTTTCTGGTGGGGACACAAGAACAAGCCTAACTGGATGACCCAGAGATTCTACAGGGACTTGATTCTTGGACCTGTACGTTGAATCTGTGATGATTGCCGGGCTATTACTAACTACCGTTCTCCGTTAGCCACCGCCTGTATATATGACTTTGGAGGAACTCTCCCTCCACGACGGTACCGACCCCGATAGACCTCTTCTTCTTGCCATCAATGGTACGATTTATGATGTCTCCAACGGCCGCCGCATGTACGGTCCAGGGGGCTCCTACAGCTACTTCGCTGCCACCGATGCTGCTCGCGGTTTCGTGACCGGCTGCTTTGCTGATGACCAGACCGCCGACCTCCGTGGCTATGAGGAGACATTCCTGCCGCTCGACGATCCTGAAATTGACTCTCACTGGACACCTGAGGCCCTCGCTGAGCTTAAGATCAAAGAGAGAGAAGAGGCTAAAAAGAGGGCCGACGCCGCGCTCCAGCATTGGGTCGACTTCTTTGCCAACAGCAAGAAGTACACCAAGGTCGGATATGTGTATCGGGAACCCGGCTGGCTGGAGAAAGAGAAGCCCAAGAAGCTCTGTGACCAGGCTCAGAGAAGCAGAAAGACCAGAAAGATTCCCAAGAAGGATTGATCCTCACTCATGCTGGCGATGTTGTATTTTTATTTTCGTTTTTATTTTTTATTAGCATCCTTTTCCAAACCCAACTGGGCCAAAGCTTAAAAGGCATGATTCACATGACCGTGAAACGGTAGGAACTTCAAATTGAGGGATAACGAGGATGATCTCTCTAATGGTTTTTGGTATTCTTGGTTGTTCTCTAAACGTTCAACCTTGATACACTCTCCCGTTGAACCCGGCCGTAAACACCGTTGATGACTGTGCCTATCCCGAGGCTGCCCAACCGTTCCAGCAATTGGTACAAATATCCATTAATTGTTCCCAGCATTACGTCTATCCCTATCCATTCAAAAATTCGTCATGCGCTCAGCTTATAGTACATACATAGCAGCGGCACCAACTGCGAGCAGCATCGAAATAGGGGCCTTCAGCTCGGCAGCAGCAGCAGTGACCACAGGATCGCCCGAAGAACCAGCTGTGGGAGTGCCAGTAGCTCCAGGGGCAGAGACCCCAGTTGGCGTGCCAGAACCATCCTCGGAACCGTCATCGGAGCTGCCGTCATCAGAGCTATCGTCACCGGATGAGCTGCCGTCGTCTGAGCTATCGTCACCGGAGCCGCCTCCAGAGCTACCACCTCCAGAACCGCCTGTGTTGGTACCATTGCCACCATTTCCGCCTTGTGGAGAGCCACCACCCTGAACAGGAACGACTTCGGAGACTGTAGCCGAACTGCAGAGGCTCTTGTAGTTATTGAGCGATCTTGTAGCATTGGCAGATGTGCTGGATGACGTTTAGTAAATAATCCTGACATAAGGTCGTAACAGACTCACTTTTCGTTGATAACCATCGACATTCCGCCCTGGCAGTGTTTTGCCTTGCTGCAGAATAGCCACATAGGCTTCTTGTCCTTGATCATGATGGTGTAAGTGGGAATCATGCCCTTGGACATGCTAGCCTCCACAGGCTGGTAGCCAGAGTAGATGCCAGTGACGTTCGACATAACGTTGCCAATAGGCACACAAGGGTCGTCGAAGGTAGACTGTGTCACTGTGTGGTTACCAGCCCAAAATTGAAACTGGACCATGGTTCCTGGCTCTGCTGTGATCTTTTCAGGCCAGAACTTGAGGCCGGTAGCATTTGTGGCTGAGTTTCTACCAACCGAGACGACTTGGACATCGACAGCTAAGAGAACTGTTAGTTGATTCTTCTTTTTTATGGCATCATGGGCACATACCTTCAGCAACAGCCGCAAGGGCTACAATAGCAATTTGAGAGAAATACATAATGATTAGAGATTTGGGGTTGTGAATATTTGGATAGAGGCAAAGGAAGGGCACTCTGGGAGAGGTGTTCAGAGATGGGATCAAAGAAAAGAAGCGACTTGCGCTCTCAAGGACTAGCCTCGTCTAAGAAAGTAATAAGAAGAATTAATGAAAGATTGAAAGAACAAAGGAAACGCGTCCAATGAGAACAGGACCAGACTGTTGATTATGGAACGAGATGGAGAGATGAGGAGAAACAAAACAAAAGAGACGAGACGGATTGGTATATATACATCTATCTACCTTAGGGCTTGGCCTATGATGGCCTTGACCCTGATTACGAGTTTCGAAGCACATCTGAAGCACGCCTCTCTACGGCGCCGAAAGATGGATCTGGGGGCTTCCGTCTCGGCTCCTCGGTAGACTTACAGGACAGGCGTAGTATGAGACACTATTAACAAGGCTTCGCTGGAAGAGTTGAGGAATGAAACAAATAGTGCTGGGTATGTCTTGGCTAACTTTGGTATGGCTTGGGAACTACCCAGGTTATATGTCAGGTTCAGATATCGAGCTCAACGACATAACATTCGCAACTGAATACAGAAGTGCGACCATCGCGACTCGGATAAACGATTATGATAGCTTCCTCTGATTCGTATTTCCATTGTCAGCATTGATTTGGTGGTCTTTCTGTTCGAAATGAGCTTGTTCATTTTGTTGGTCAACTCAACTGAGAAATCAACCCATGGCGCTTAGTATGTCTATTATCCAGACCTATAACATAACAGACTAACAATTAGATATTTTCGGTGACTATAGGCCTCGGCTCCAGGCCCAACCGTGTCGGAGCAGATCGACCAGGGGTTCGTCTGCTTCGGAAGTGCCTCATCCGTAATATCTTGAGACGAATATAGTTTCGCTGTCCCTATTGGTCCTTAAAGGGTTTAAGGGCCTAGAGGGCCACATGGGTGCAAAGCTGCCGTACTGTAATTTGAAACTTGAGAGCCTTGGCTTTCTCTTGAGGCAGAATAACATTATTTGAGTCCGCACTGACGTTGCATTAGTTTGTCGGGTTTCAGCTGTGATGTTTCGTGTTGGTTGCAGATTCCAAGCGCACCTAAGTATGTGGGGGGATGTATTGCCATTTGGAACACCCCAGTTTTATTAACTTACTATGATTAATCTCCTGAACCGATCTTATTTACACGAGATGTTCAACCATTTTCAGCTTGCTCAATAGACGGCTAAAGATCGTCCTTAGCCAGTGTTGATTTTGAGGCTCACAACGGAACTTCTTAGACGAAACGCCCATTTGTATAATGGGCGAGAAGAGTTGCTAAAACCTAAGACTGCCTTCAACAAACAGGAACGACAAGCAATATGTAGCACAATACCAGGTTGAGCTCGCCACTATTATAGACATTATGGCGGCTTGGAGCTCGAAGTCTGCGTGTTACACGATCCTTCTTGAGTGAAGTTCCAGGAGCCAGTACAAATGTAACTTGCCACAATCTAGAAATATGTTACAACACCATCTAGTTGACTCTGCGAATACGTCTTGATTATTCCTTCACATCAACCAAACGCTTACAACTCAAATTCGTGGTATGACAACTTGCCAGATAGCCCCAAGTCAAGGATTCCGTATCCTCGTACATAGTCAGTGAAAGCTCATGCACTTGTGACAAAAGATCGGGGTGCGATCGCAAACACCACTATGAACAATCCGGTGCTGCCACAGTTGGAACACACCAGGCGCAATGCACGCGACCATTGCATTTATCGGATGGTACTCCATTCTCACTTCCTTGAGCTTGAGATGGACATCAGGCGTAGTAGGAGACATCGTGTTCCGATAACGAGCTTTGGAAGATCAAAGTCTTGGTTGCTATTGTGTTAATGTTTATGAAAAGTCGGTTGAATGCTTTTCAGATTCACGTACCCGTATTATCGTCAAAGTGCAGCATAGGAAGTCGCTGACCCGCAGTGCCACCATCCGCTCGCTCTATGTGTCAAAGCGTCAGTAATGCGCGGTCGTCGCCGGGGCTTCACTCCAGATGCATACCAATTGAACACTTCGACTCTAGTTCACCCCGAAGGTGCCAGAAACACCAATCGATACCACTCAAAGGTCCAGCAACAACTGTGGAGATACTTTCTCCAGGTCCTCAACTTCGAGAAATCCGCCATCCTTCTCGACAGCCGCTCGCGCAATAGCCTCTCTCACAAATACATCAAAGTATTTGCCCGCCGCGGCATTTGCATCTCTTGATATTCGTGTCGCATCTTTAGCAAAGAATTCGTGCAGCAACCGTGTGAGCAGCTCTGGCGGGATCGACTTGTCGGGTTCCTCTTCTTCCACAGCTTCTGCTTCCCGCGTTGAGTTCCCTTGTCTGTCATTATCGTCATCTGAGAGCTCAAATGGATTGCTCGATTGTGGTTCGGTTTCAGGCTCTGATGCCTTGGCGCCTTTCTTCGTTGTGGCTTTAGGTCGGCCACGGCCTGTACCTGCCGGTTGCTTTGGAGGCATGTCAAAAGTTCAGGTAGACTCTCAGGTCCCACGTCATAAATTTGTTGTATCGCGCAAGAATTACGTTGGTAACCGTGTCGAGCTCCACGTTAGGTAGGTACTTGAATACTGTTAGCTTAGTAAGCATCCAACGTCAAGCCACAGACACAAAACAACAAACCCCTCAGTATCACGTAGTCAGATTATGACGGAAGGAAAATAGTGTTCAACGAATTGACATCACGAGAACCAGTGGACAATGTTTGGACAGTAAAGGGAAATTGCATTGGTGTATAAATTACAGCGGCCTAGAACGGAAGGCAAAGCAAGATTAGGAAAAGACGCCGTGCCTATGCCACTCTAACCCGTAAAGAGCTGCTGTTTCAGAGGACCACGTCGGGTATCTGTGACAACTTCCCTCAACCTGCACTTCGATCTCGCCTTTTAGTTTCAACCAGCGGACACCATGTCAAGCCCGCAGATTAATATCCCCCCGGATTCCTTATCCCGCCACACACATGTCTATACAGGGTATGTTATACAAAGCGCTTATTTGAAGGCCTTGCCGAAGAGGAGGACCTGGAGCTGATCGTAGATGGAGAGGACACCAGCACCGGCAACACCACGGAGAATGTTGGCACCAGCACCCTTGAAGAGAGACTTGACACCCTCCTTGGCGACAATCTGGCGGGCAGCATCCATGGTGTTCTTGTACTTGACGGCCTCACCAGAGGTCATCATCATGCGTCGTCGAATGGTGTCAAGAGGGTAAGAGGCGATACCGGCACCAGTGGTGACGATCCAGCCGAGAGCGAAAGAGGCAAGGAAGTTGTTGGACAAGCTACCGACAAGGACGACGGGCTTGATAGAGTCGTACATTCCGAAGTAGAGACCACGGTAGACAACGATACCAGCAACGGAAGGCATGAAACCACGGTAGAGACCGGCAATACCATCAGAGGCGAGGGTCTTCTTGTAGACATCGACGAGACCGTTGAACTGACGGGCACCACCACTCTTGGCGTTCTTGGCATCGTTGGCAAGACGGGTACGGGCGTAGTCCAGAGAGTAAACGAAGAGGAGGGAAGTGGCACCAGCGGCACCACCGGAGGCAAGGTTACCAGCCATCCAGAGGGCGTAGCCATCCTTGTCCTTCTTGTAACCGAACATCTTCTTGAACTTGTCACGGAAAGCAAAGTTCAGAGCCTGGGTAGGGAAGTATCGGATGACGTTGGCGGTGT